TTCTTTGCATTTCTTTCTGCATACTCCTTGGTCTCCCTCACATATATTTGCAAATTTCTGTGTCTTAACTTTGGGGATTAATTTTTTCATGCCTCCTGGAAAAAAATATGGCTTTGGTTAGACTCTACGCAGCCATGATAACAGAAGACATAGAATGTTAAGCGAACAGGACTGGAATCAAAATCATCTAGCTTCAAACCTGCATTCTGTTATTTACCAGATCTTGGTCTTTGGATAAGGAATGTCAGCTCTCTGTCCCTTCGCTGCTCTCAGCTGTATAATAGCAATAATGATGAAAGAGACTACTTCCTTCGGTTCTTGTGATTGTTAAATGAGTTTATATATGTGAGTTCTTAGAATAAGAGCCTTACTGAGAGATAACTAAACCCTAGTCCTTCTTGTTATTATTGTTGTTGTTTCTATTGTTATTATTATTAAATAAAGGTATTTTTCTGAGAGTTTAAGACTACAAAATTGGGCAAGTTCCAATTTGCCTGAACTTGTGTTCTTAATGCTCAATTTTTTTTGAGATAGCCACTCCAAATTAGAGCATACACATATTTACCAGTGACTCTGTGTTTTGAAATAATAAACAATGGGCACAATAGCATGGATACATGTGGACATTTTAATTTATTCACAGATCCACAATCATATACAAACTGAACATGGACATATGTGTTTGCAATAAACACCCACAGATGTATAGATGTGCATTCACAACCATGTACAGGTAAGCAAACCATATATATATATATGGTTTAAAGTATTTTCAGGCAAAGGATATACACACATATATATCCTTTGCCTGAAAATGCTTTAGTAATACAATTTCTGACATATATAGCTAGCATTCTATCAACATTAATCAGGAGTAATAGTTGGGTTTTTTAAAAAATAAGGTCTTTGGGAAAAAATAAGAACTACTAGCAAACATTTAACACCACTTGTGTCAAGAATATTTGTATGTTGCTTCAACGAAAAGGATCATCATATCCATTTGTCAACATAAGAAAATTATAGCACAGAGATGTGATGTCTCTGCTGAGGTCCCCAATTTGGTAAGGAAGAGAACTGAAGTTATAGTTCTGGTCTACATGAGTCAGAACGCTGGAGTGACATCATCAGCAAGATGGTAGACAAGAAAGCTTTAAGTTCTCATTTCCCTCATAGAAACAGGAAATAAACAACATGTGTACCAAAGGAACTTTGTGGAAAGGAACTCCAGAAACTGTAACAGGATGCAGCCAAGGGGGGCTCCAAAGGGCAGCCAAGGGATTTGTAATGAGGTCCAGAACTCAGTGTGTCCAGGAAATATTAGGAAAAAATATATATAGGATGTTCTCATCTGTATAAGTCTGAGCTGGGGGATGAGATGCATGGAGCTGGGCCATTGAGAGTTGTTTTGAATAGCAACAGTTTTGCATATACCCTCTAGAATGGTCATTTAACATGTCTATAACCTTTAACTGGTTTCATAGATATGTTAAACAGCTGTGGCCATGCATTGAGCCAGGGGGATGGGAGTGACTTCAATCCATGATATAACTGGGAGGCAACTCCCCCTGGTTACAGAGCCTGTGAAAGAGCTTGGAGATAATTGGCTCCACACCACAGGGCCACACCTGCCCAGACTTACTATGGCAGCCCAGTAAAGCTGGAAAAATACGGGAATGCTGGCAAGCTGTGGCCAATTGTGGGAGGAGTCGGGAATGGTGCTGCAGAGGAAGATTGGCACAAGGATTTAAACCCAGGTATGGTAGCCCTGCCACGTCTTTTTTGGACCACGCGGCTTGAGCAGAGAAGAACCATGGACTTCTATTTGTTTTTCTGAGATACGGTACCCCAGACTGGGCAGAGGGGGAAGGAAGGACTGTGCATTTGTGGGTGTTCTAAAGGGCTTTGGGATCTCAATGAAGACATTTGGTCATTACTCTTAAATTTGCATAACTCTTTAAATAAATTATCCCTTTCCTTTTCACCAGTCTCTGGAACTAAGAGACGTCTTTCCCTGGAGGCAGGCAAGGTAAACATAGTACAAGGTAGAGGACCCCCAGAGCACAAAGGTGGGTCCATTCAGTAATAGTATATCATTCACCACCACCAGGATCTGTTCTGTAACAAAACCAGTTAAAATATCTTTTTAAAAAATATTTTATTTATTTATTTTTAGAGAGAGGGGAAGGGAAGGAGAAAGAGTGAGAGAGAAACATCAATGTGCGGTTGCCTCTCACATGTCCCCTTTTGGGGACCTGGCCTGTAACCCAGGCATGTGCCCTGACTGGGAAGCAAACTGGCAACCCTTTGCTTCACAGGCCCGTGCTCAATCCACTGAGCTACACCAGCCAGGGCAATAAATAAAATCTTTAAAAAAAAAAACCACCCAGAACAGCCAGAAAATTGAACTATATGGAAGTCACAACCAAAGATTGAAGCCACATTTGTCCCGATGGGTAGGAGGGGCAGAGCTGGGGAGCAGGGATGGAGAGGATGTGGTATGGCAGCAGCAAGGCAAGGCACGGCAGTGAGGTGGCCAGTGGAACTGGTGGTCCCCCACTCATGGGAGGATAACATTGAGAGGGATACATTGGGAGTAAGCGATCCCAGCCCAGGCCAGACTGAGCAGCCCAGGGTTCCAGCCCCGGGAAGCTAAAGCCTCATAACTTCTGGCTGTAAGAACCAGTGGGGGTTGGGGCAGTGGAAGAAACTGCCAGTCTCTCGGGAGAATCTGTTTAAAGGGCCTGCATGGTCCAGAATGAATGCACACCCACCCACTCTGGGAACAACCACCAGGGCAGCAGCTAGAGGGGCACCACTTATATATAGGAAGGGGATGAAGTGACTGGAAATGGGGCAAGTAATGAGCAAGCAGTGTCACTGTCCCCTCTCTGACTCCTCCCCCACGTACAGAACCACAAAGCAGTGAATTCCCAAAGTGGGTTGCCCTATCCTGGTGACTACCTAAAGCTCTTACCCCATACAACTTAATAGGTACACTAAGACAGGGAGTCAAAGGAGCTCTACCTAATATACAGAAACAAACTCAGGGATGCTGCCAAATGGAGGAGAGGAAGAAACATGGCCCAAATGAAAGAGAAAAACAAAACCCCAGAGAAAGAACTAAGTGAAACCGAGATAGCCAACCTATCCGATGTAGAGTTCAAAACACTGGTGATAAGGATGCTCAGAGAACTCATTGAGTATGGCAAAAGCAAAAGGGAAGAAATGAAGGCTTCACTAAGTGAAATAAAGAAAAATCCACAGGGAACCAGCAGTGAAGAGAAGGAAGCTGAGGTTCAAATCAATGATTTGGGATACAAGGAAGAAAAAAACAATCAACCAGAACAGAATGAAGATAAAAGAATTTTTAAAAAATGAGAGAATAAGACTCTGGGATAGCTCCAAAAGTAAAAATATCTGAATCATAAAGATGCCAGAAGGAAAAGAGGAATAGCAAGAAATTTAAAATATATTTGAAAAAATAATGAAAGAAAACTTCCTTAATTTGGCAAAAAAAAAATAGACGACAAGTCCAGAAAACACAGAATCCCAAAAAAGTTGGACCTAAAGAGGGCCACACCAAGACACATAATTAAAATGCCGAAGATTAAGGATAAAGAGAGAACCTTAAAAACAGCAAGATAGCCCTGGCTGGTGTAGCTCAGAGGATTGAGCACAGGCCTGAGAACTACACTACCGCGGTTCAATTCCCAGTCAGGGCACATGCCTGGGTTGCAGGCCAGTTCCCAGCAGGGGACCCATGAGATACAACCATACATTGATATTTCTCTTTCTCTCTCCTTCCCTTCCCCTCTAAAGATAAATAAGTAAAATCTTAAAAAAAAAAAAACCAGCAAGATAAAAGCTGAGAGTTACCTAAAAAGGAGTTCCCATAAGACTCTCATCTGATTACTCAAAAGAAATTTTGCAGACGAGAAGGGACTGGCAAGATGTATTCATAGTGATGAAAAGCAAGGACTTAAAACCAAGATTACTCTACCCAGCAAAGCTATGATTTAGAATTGAAGGGCAGATAAAGTGCTTCCCAGACAAGATAAATCTAAAGGAGTTCATCATCACCAACTCCTTACTATATGAAATGTTAAAGGGGCTTACTTAAGAAAAAGAAGAAGATCAAAGCTATGAATGTTAAAATGACAACAAACTCACAACTATCAACAACTGAATCTAAAAAAAACAAAAACAAAAACAAACTAAGCAAGCAGCTAGAACAGAAACAATTATAGATATGGAGATCATTCAGAGGGTTATCACTGGAAAGGAGGAAATGGGAGAATGGGGGACATGTATAAGAATTAAAAAGCAAAATTGGTAGGTACAAATTAGGGGGATGTTAAGAAAAGTATTGAAAATGGAAAAGCCAAAAAACTTATATGCATGACCCAAGGACATGAACAAAGGTGGGGGATTGCTGGAGAGAAGGGGGTACTATACAGAGTGGGGTAAAACTGTAATAGCTTAATCAACAAAATATACTTAAAAAAAGAATGTTGGGAACATTTGTCCCCATCCACGCTCTTTTTTTTTTTTTTTTTTTTTTTGCTTGCTTGCTTTTGCCCCATCCGCTCTCTGGTGCAACATGGCATGGTGATGAGGAAGCCCCCCATTTCTCAGTGCCTCCATCAGGGTGGAAGGAGGAAAGTGGAATCTGTTTACAATGTTCTGGGTTAGTTCAGAGCACTGTAGGGACTAGTTTCTGCCTTGCTGGACTTAGGGAACTGACATAAATGGGGTGTCATTTGGTGTCAGGTTGGAGGCTGCTGAAAGCAGTGGTAGGCACTGCTGCTTCATTGAGCTTCTGGGGACTATGGATGGAAGCCTCAGGACAAGAACTCCTAAATGTCAGAAGCAAACCCGGACAGAATTGAAGGGAGAAGCAGACAGCTCTCATGGCTCCAGATGACTCCCGCTGACACCAGGGTCCCAGTAGGTTTCCACAAATCAGGCCCTCCTGTAACTTTGGCTCCTGCTTGCTCCAGGTGGCATCCATGACACTAAGTTCCCAGTGGGCTTCCATGAATCTAGGCCTCCAGCTAACCCCAGCATCCACAGTACCAGATTCCCACATATTGAGACCCCCTGTTCACCCTGAAGCCTGCTGGCTTCAGTGGTCTCAGGAGGCTTCCATACCTGAGGCAGCTCTGGCATCACTGGGCTCCCAGAAGGCTCCTGAAAATCCAGGCCCCAACTCACCCTGGCAGCTACCAGTGACCCCAGGCGTCTCCAGGGGCTCCAGCTGGCTTCCTCAGTTTCAGGTTCTGCACAGGTCCCTACAAGCCTAGGTGCCTGTCAGCTCAAGCAACCCCAGGTAGCTCAGCAGGCCCAGGTGGCTACCACCGCTCCAGAAAGCATCCTCGGCTCCAGGGTCCTAGAGGCCCCATTGAACCCAGGCCCTTAAGCTACCATAGCACCTTCTGGCTCCCATGGACCCAGACAGCTTCTGTGGCCCCAGGATCCAATGGACTCTGACGAACCCAGACTCCTAACTCACCCCAGCACTGACCACTTCCCTCGAACCAGAAGGCTAGTGGGCTTCTGTAAACCCGTTGTTTCTCACCAGAGGACCCATTGGCTCCAGTGCGCCCAGAGGACCCTTGCAGCCCCATTTTCCCAGGACACCCAAGCACTGGCTGTCTCCTACAGATGCGGGTGCTGGGTTGTCTCCTGAGGTCCCAATCTTCCAATAGCACCAGCAAACCCAGGCTACAGGGGGGGCACATGCGGACATAGGATTCTGACAGGACCCGGGACCAGGCTGACTACTGCCATCCCAGGCTTTTCACACACTAAGTGCCCAAAATTCCAGCACCAAACCTTTCTGGGAAGGCCAGCATGTGGCCCACCCAGGATCTTTGAGTGGACTGACTTTTGAAGGCCTTCGCTTTCCAAAGTTAGTCTGTCCATAAGGACTGGAAGTGGTACCTCCTTCTCAAATGCACAGACACCAAAGCAAGTCCACAAGGATGATGAATAGTCAAGTAAACATGACATCACCATAAAAAAACTAATAAAATTCCAATGATTGACCCTAAAGAAATGGAGATCTTTGAACTGTCTGACAAATAATTTAGAGTAGTCCTCTTTAAAAAATTCAAAGAGTGATAAAAAACACAGACAACTCAATTAAAAAACACTACATGAACAAAATAAGTTCAACAAAAAATATAAGCTATTAAAAAAAACATACAGAATTAGTGAAGTCGAAGAATACAATGACTGCACAAAAGAATTCAATGGAAACCTACAACAGCAGGTTTGACCAAGCAGAAGAATTAGTGAGCTATAAGGTATGCCATTTACAATCATCCAGCCAGGGGAGCAAAAAGAAAGAAGGAAAAAGGACGAGGAAAGCTTACATCAACTATGGATTCCCATTAAGAAAAATCACCTATGCATTATTGTAGTCCTAGAAAGAAGAGAGAGAGGTAAAGGAGCAGGGAGCTTATTTTTAAAAATAGTGGATGAGAACTTCCCAAATACAGGGAGAATTAAACACATATGTTTGTGAGATTAATGAGTCACCTCAGAGTTCAACCTGAAAAGCACATTCTAATAAAACTGGCTATAGTCAAAGACAAAGAGAAAAATTTTAAAGCAGCAGAAAAAATTTTTTCACATATAAAGGAACCCCCATAAAGTTATCAGCAATTTTCTTAGCAATGTTTTAAAAAACAGACAAAAACATTGTAGGCCATAGAAATATGGATGATACATTCAAGTGCAGAGTTTTTTTAAAAATCTACCAACCAAAAATAACTTATCCAGCAAAGTTTCTTTCAGAACTGAAGGAGACATAAACACTCTCCCAAATAGGATCTGAGGAATTTCATGACCAAGATTATCTAAATAAATGCAGAAAAACTCAGGTGTCTGATTTAAGTCCAACCAGCCCCTACTCAAAGCTAATCCAAACTCTATGCATATCAACCTCACATTCACCCTCCTTGAAACGAGCACCTGACAAAATCTAACTCCAAATCCCAGCCTTACCTCTATACTATGCTATCCCGAGACAAACACAACATTAATCAAACCACGCAGCACCAATACCCAGACTCAACTCAACAAGAACCCCACATAGAAACCCTATCTACTCCAATTCCCACTTTTACCCAACTTCACTGCAACATCTGTTCAACCACAAGTATCATTCCCAGCCCAGCTTCTCTCAAACCATTGGCCTGGCCTAATTCCATAAATGCAACCACTTACTTCTAGCTAATTACTATTTATTTTCTGCCGTTACTCCAACCAAAAGGCCCTATCCTCTCTGCACCACAATGCAGGTCCCAATCTCCAAAGTAACACCTTGATTGACCTTATAAATCTTCAATTTGGCTCTGGCTGATGTGGCTCAGTGGATTGAGTGCTGGCCTGCAAACCAGAGGGTCACAGTTTGATTCCCAGTCAGGGCACATGCCTAGGTTGTGGGCTAGGTCCCCAGTTGGGGGCACATAAGAAGCAACCACACATTGATGTTTCTCTCCTTCTCTTTCTTCTTCTCTTCCCCTCTCTCTAAAAATAAATAAATAAATAGACAGATAGATAAATAAATAAATAAATAATAAAGTCTTCAATTTGGACTTAATTCCACACACATAACGCAGGTCCGAAGCTCTCATCCTAATGACATTGTTACTCTAATATGCTCTATGCCCCGTGTTCTCTTCCTCCACCCGGAAGCACCAAACCTTTAAGTGGATCATAGCAGTATGAGGCCAGCAGAATCCTGGCATAATAAGAACCTGAGGGTAGCATCCCTAAGCCATCTGACATTAGGTTACCAAAACTGCAAAACCATATACTGGACCCCAGAACCTTTGAGAGTACCTTGAATTACCTGAAGTCATATGAACCAGGATCAGAAAGATGACAATGGTGATTAAATAAGGCTTCATAACTGACAGGTTCTGAGAGAGTAAAGGGCACATTCAAGGGACAGAACAGAGAGCTTTGCAGCAGCAGGGCAGTGCCCTGCTTTATTAGTGTCAGAAGTAGGCTAGGGTTGTGGGCAGTGAACTAAGAAAGGTGGTACATGCCTGAGGTCATCCAGGCAGAAAGATCACATGTGTTACATATGTCACCTGGGAACTCCATGTGAACGTAGGCGCTTGCCAGTGCCCACATCAAGGTGGGCCCTCCGTCCAGTAAAAGACAAGGTAAAATTAAAGCCAGTTTGTATATTGTGTAAGACAGACTGAAGTAAATGAGAGAGTTAATCAATTCAACAATGGAAAAAGCTAGTAAGTTATTATGAGAAATAAAGAAACTTGAAACATGTATTTCTTTACATTCATGTCCAGAGTATATCACATTAGTCAGCAGCATTCACTGTCTATACAGCAGTGTACTATCCATTGGGATAAAGAAAAGAAGAAAATGATGTGGGGAAACTGAGGGAGGCGGGATGGAAAAATGGAGAAAAATACTGCAGGTGAAAAATAAAAGTCAGGAAGTAATAATGTCAGTGAAACAGCAAACTAAAATCCCAGTATTTCTTCCTCCCTGCCAAAAAAATATATATATATATATATATTTTAAAGTATCCACTGGTGAAAATAGCTCTGGGGGAGCTCCAGAGTATAATGAAGAATCTACAGCAACCCAGTGGAGCACAAAAACCAAGGGTGGCTTCATTAAAAGTGTTGGAAGCATTTTACCAGTATCACTCCACCGCGGCCTAGCAAAGCTCAGAACCAGTGGGGATCCCCTCATCAGTGACCTCTGTCTGCACTGGAAAAGGAGAGAGAAAAAAAAAAACAGAAGCCTTTGCCACCAAAGGACCAAAGAGCCCTCATCACTGCCAAAAACACATGAAGCTTTCTCCACTAAAGACCCCTGCAATCTTTTCCTTGCTAACTCTCGGTAACAAAGGAATCCAGAGCCCACATTGTTACAAGAATATGTACCCAGCAAAATTATATGCTAAAAATTAAAGAAAGATAAAGCTTTTCCAGACAAAGAAAAACTGAGGAAGTTCATTACCATTAGACCTGCCTTACAAGAAATGCTTAAAGGCATTTGCTAAGTAGCCTCAGACCCAGCACTGGCACGAGCTTTGAACCTGTACCAATCTGGTGAACACCACTTGCTCCTACCTGTTGACTCTCTGAGAACTTACCCCACACAACTTGAGAACTGCCAAAGGCTTTTTCAGTGACTGAGCTGATGGGGCAGTTGGCAGGTGGAGGCAGATAGAAGCAAACAGAGGTGGACTTTGGGGTGCCTTGGGCCTTTGATGACCTCTCCCCAGACTTGGTGCTGGTGGAAGCAGGCCTTGGTGCATAGCTTGGTCCTTCCTGCACATATCCAGCCCCAGCAGAGACAGCCACAAACTGTGGATCACTTTGTATCTCCAAACAGGTTGCCCGGGGCCAGTCACAGGTAGTGTCTGACATTGATGGCACCAGAGTCCCTCTTAAAAGGTCTCAGAACCAACAAATCCATTGGCCAGCTTCAGACAACATTGAAACAGGATTTAATTAGCTTTATGAGGAGCACATAGAAAGAGAGTTCTCAACAGGCTCCAGATCCTGCGGATGCAAATTCTGCTCCATGTGGTCGGCAGTCACACAGCAGCTCATACACGGCAGCTGATGTCAGTCCTAACAGCCAGCCTGAGGGTCGACCTGATCCACAAAGGAGGAGGGTGCCCATCAGCTGGGGAATGGGAATCACTTCACCCCACTGTTTAACATATCAAAATTACATGCTTTCTTTTATAATTTAATTGACCTCCAAAAGCTCTGGTAAGATTTGTGTTGATAAACAGTGGAAAAGGGAAACTGGAGAAGAAAAAACTGGCACTGGTGAGAATGAGGAAGACCTTACAAAACTGCAAACGTCAAAGGCACTATTTCATGGGGGTACTGATGACAGAATTAAGATAGACAGACATGCACTTGAAAGGAAAGGCGATCACATTGCTTTGGAGAAGAAGAAAGGGAATGTGGCATTGGAGGTTCCAGAAGAAGTCGAAATGTACATTTCAAGGGAATAAAAAACTTGAAGGGTTTCTTAATTAGTTGAGAATTCTCACTGTGATAACAGTGAGTCCTTTACTTGCAAGTGTGCAAAGGCTGATTTCATCATTAAATTGAGATCAGTTTAAGAGATCGACCTAAAAGCACATTTTAATGGCTTAGACATGGTGACTCGAGATGAATCTGGGGGGTGAAGGGCGATCGAGAATGACTCACTCTAGGTTTCTGAACTGAGCAACAGGACAGATTGCAAATGTCAGTTACTGAAATGGAAAGGCAAAGGTTTTCAGGCATGCAAACAGATTTAGAACTCAGTTTAGGACATTTTCGGCCTGAAATCCAGGAGGGCATAACAAATATGCAATTTAATGTGTGAGTTTGGACCTAGTCAGAGTCAAACATATAAATACAGAAATTCCCCAAGATCACACAGCTTCTGAACAGTGGTGAGAAGCAGGAGAAAAACCCTTCTGTCTCTGTAGTCGTGTTTCTTTCTAAGACTTGTAGAAATCAGGGACGTGCAAATCTGCTTTAAAGCTAGAATGCCACAATCACCTTCACTCTACAAATACTGCTGACATAGGAAGTCTAGAAATATTATATATTTCAACTACAATGCTGAAGCCTTTCTTCCATACATTAAAATATGTGCCTAGTCTGGCTGGTGTAGCTCAGTGGATTGAGTGAGCTCAAATCCACTCAAACCAAAGGATCCTGCAAACCAAAGGATTGTGGTTTGATTCCCAGTCAGGGCACATGCCTGGGTTGCAGGCCAGTTCCCAGCAGGGGACCCACAAGACACAACCATATGTTGATATTTCTCTCCCTCTCTCCTTCCCTTCCCCTCTAAAGATAAATAAACAAAATCTTAAATATATATATATATGTGTGTATATATATATGTACTTTTATGTATATGAACTATGCTGCTTATGCCAAAATTTTTGTGATTCTCCTTGAAACCCGATTTCTGCCAGGTCCCTGTCCTCTGTCTGACAAACAGGTCTGAATGGCCATGAATCACAAAGATATAAACATTATTCCATTTTTCCATCAGACCTCTAAATTTCATGAAAATAAAAATCCAACTGTATTGATTTTTTTATTGAGTGATCGCTGGTCCTTTGGTTAGGTCTAGGATTGTCATTTGTCTAACAATGAGAAGTACGGGTAGAAGGTCTACAACAAGAAAGAGAGAAAAAATAGGGAAGATAACACATATCACGGGGTAAGTGGAAGAAGAAGAAACCCCAAAAGGGACTAATAAGGAGCATCCAGAGACCAGAAGTGAAGGCAAACAAGGATTTTTAAGGGAGGATTGGCCCTGCTGGTGCAGCTTAGTGGATGGAGTGCCAGCCTGCAAACCAAAAGGTTGCTGGTTTGATTCCCAGTCAGGACATGGGTTGCTGGCCAGGACCTCAGTTGAGGGTGTACGAGAGGCAACCGATCAATGAATCTCTTGCACATAGATGTTTTTCTCCCTCTCTTCTTCCCTCTCTTCCCCTCTTTCTAAAAATAAATAAATAAATAAAGTCTTTTCAAAAAAGAGATACTAAGGGGAGAGTTGGGGAAACTAACTGAACAGTGATTAAAAAATGGGTAAAGGAAAAAAAAGGAAGGAGTGAGAGCAATGCGGTGAAAATGGTAACTAGAGGCAAAGTAAATGGGAAAACCTAAAGGATGCTCAAGTTTTTCAACAATGAAGGCCTTGGTGAGCAGACCAGGGCCATGTTAGTGGAGTGGTAAGTGCAAAATACAGACTTCTCCTAGCGGGGGTGAAATTGGGAATGGGAAACTCGCAGAGTGCAGCTGGGAACGCTGGTTCTATTAGTCTGGATCCAAAGGCAGGGAGAGATAAGCCATGAACCCTGGAAGAGAAGTATCCACAACACTGAAAATTCCATAGCATGTCAAACATTAGTCGTCACTAAGTTTGGAGTGAGAAAACAACATTCCTCAATTCTCGGGAATGAAAGGGTTTGAAAGGTTATGAAGTACAATGTCCAGCTTCTGTTCCAAATCCCTGACACCGTGACTGCCATTACCTCTGTCCCACATCCAGAAATGGTCCTCCAGCCTCAAAACGGTGAGTGCCCAGGAATTTTATCCTTCCACCGGGTTCTGGTTCTTCGTGAGGACACCACGTGGTACAAACAGACCAGGACAGCTCTCTGGATATCAAAGACAGACCTGTCGTCCCTGTCCTGATGCCATAGCACTGACTCCAGGGACTCAGCGATCTCCGCACACTCACTGGGTCACCCAGACTCGATCCAGCAGCCACCTTCGCTCTGTGCTTTCCAGAATAACTGGCAACCCTCTTCACGTATGGAGCAGAGCAGAAACATTACCTCCTTCCTTCCTTGGCACCCTCACCATCTACTGAGTTATCCTAACATCCTATTTGCTTTTTTTTTTTTTTGCCAGTGCCCTTTCCTAAACCCCATGGCTCTCCAGCTCCCGGCCTGACCTTTCCCTGCCCAGCGATGACTACCCACAGAGGCAAGACACACGCGTGAGAAGGAATGCATTTTTTATGGGGACGGTGTCCCAGGAGGGCATAAGGTTGGGGATATTCAGATTTCCAAGTAGCTTTAAGTGTCTATAACCGACAGGCTGGAGTTCTTTTTCACGTGTTTAGAACTGGCTTTTTTCACAGGAAGTTTCAGGCAGCACTTTTGTTTGTCCGGGCAGGTTAGGTGTTGAATTTCCTCTTTTCTGCAGGCGCTTCTGCACATGCCAAGGTAAAGGTGGCATGGATTCCAAGGCTCCTGGCTCTTGCCAAAGTAGGATCTGAGCAGGCCACCTGGAAAAGATATAGCATGTGTCGCTTCTGTGCAGCAATGGGAAGAGGAGGGAGGAAGCATGATTTAAAGAGAACAAACCCTAAGAACGTTAAGAACACAGGATCTGGAGTCAAAACCACCTCAGTTCAAATCTGGGCTCTGCCCTTAAAGCTCTTCAGCCCTAAGCAAGTCACTGCAGTTCTCCGGCCTACCACTGCATCATCCTCACCATGGGCATAATAACTAAGCCAACTTCTAAACATTTAACAATGATAAAATTAGCATATATAATATGCTCAGAAAAGTAATAAAAACCAAATATTAGGCAGTGTTGTTGATATGGGAGTCTTTTCCTGGGGCTCCAGGGCTTTGAGGGCTGTCCCTACGAGGGCCTATCGGTCGTGTCCCAAGTCCACTGACAGATGTGTTCCCACACAGCTCTCACCAGAGACAGCGGGATCTACACTGAGGCAGCGCATGCATATTCAAACCCCTGCATTGCCTTTGTCCTTTGAAACACTTGGGCAAACACGTACCATAATGCTCACTGTACACATGTCTGCACACATTTTCTACATACGGCCAAAGCTCACTTCTGAGTATTAATGGCTATGTATCAGGCATCCACACATGTCTGTGGGTGTACAGGCTTTCCCCCTGAAAATACACCAGTGACAAGTCAGCATTCTGCAAATATTAGTCATCTGTACCATTAGCTACCCACCAGAACTTTAAAAGACAAAGGAGGCATTAGAAGGGAAATGATGCTACCAGTCTGCCATATAGCCCGCATCTTCTGTGTACCAGGCATTTTACAAATAACATCTCTCTGAACCCTTGGAAAAGCCTGCTGTTATTTCCATTGATTAGATAGAGACACTGAGGCTCACAGAGAGGCCGTGTTCTGTCCATATTCCCGAAGTTCATGTCTGACCAAGCTGGGATTCATTTTCTGGTCTACATGCTATTAAGCCTCAACTGTTTCCTCTTGATGCCACAATGTTTCTCTGTCTCACAAAATTTCTAGAGGCATTGAGGATTCTACAGTTTTCAATAGATAGTCCAAAATTCATAGTTGAGCATTCAAGAACCTTTTCCGCCATCCACCCATGCACTTATTCCACATCCACTTACCAGCACTCACTCTGGGCCAAGCCACATACTCAGAGCTAAGCATGGATAGGTCTCAATGCCCGCCCACACTAGGAAACACTGACCAAAGCAAGTCTGATGTTATTTCCTGCATGGCAAAAAAAAAAACCCAAAAAACTCCACTCTGTTCATTTTTTGGCAAGACAAAGTAACATTTTTCAAGTGTAAGGGGAGTCAGAGAATGGGGCAGAAAAGAAAGAAGAAAGGCTTCAGTAGCAGGCATCCTATAGCATTGCAGTGCTGGTTTGTATATGAACTACCCCCGACATTGGCCCTCCAGTCCAGAGGAGGCACTCGGCTGCCACATCAGCCAGCCTGCCGGCTGGCCAACCACAGTACCCCTTCATTCATTCACACTCCGGCATCATGGAGCCGCTGCATTTCCTGTATCAGTCCTCGCCCTCATCACGGAACCTGTGTCTCTTTTGAGAACTGCCACTTCTGAACCTGCCTACTTGCAGGAAAGGCAGATCCGCAGGGGGCCTCCCCAGAGTGACACACACACTCTTCTGGTTAAATCTGAACTGGAGGATTTTCCTTTTCTCCCAAACACAATGCATGGAAGCCGGGGCACCCAAGATTTCGACTTTGTAGTTACTAGAAGATGGATAGGAACATAGATGCTGAGAAGAAGGATCAGGCAGGCTGCCTTTTCCTCACTCCTTCCACATGGAAAGCAGGCCAAGACAATCCCAGGAGGATTCTGTTTAAGGTGGCTGAACAAACAAACAAACAAGGGTTTTGTCATAAACAATTTTTAAAAAATTTTTATTGATTGATTTTTAGAGAGAAAGAGAGAGTCACATCAATTTTGTTGTTCCACTTACTTATGCATTCATTGGTTGATTCTTGTATGTGCCCCAACCAAGGTCGGACCTGCAGCCTTAGTGTATGGGGATGATGCTCTAACCACTTAGCTACCCAGCCAGGGCGTGGACATGTATGACTTCTCACCCCTGCAGCTGTTCAAACCTTATATTGCCTTGTGTCGCAACAAACAGCAGCACCTACATCAAGTTAATGTCACCTTTGATGATCCCTCCATCTTCCAGTTGAAATCAGAGGAGACCTGCCTTTGAACCTCAGCACTGCCTCTGAGCTTCTGGACCTCTGGCCTAGTCTCCCCCTGGAAGAAATGGGAATGGGGGAGTTTCCACCAGGCCAGAAAAATCTCAGCTGTGTTTGTGAAGGAGGAGGGTAATAACCTGGGGGGTTTCAAGTATTCTCATGTCAATCTTCAGAGACAAAATCAATGTGGTCCATGACTGCTCTGCCATCCCCAAACATGACCCTTTCCCATCCCGCCTCTAAGGTTCTCCCTACCTGTGTGTCTTTATCAGGCATAAGTCATTTGTAAGTTCATCCATTCAATAAACATTCACTAACACCTACTCTGCGCCAAGCACTGAGTTAAACACCAGGAATACACAAACTTAAAAGGCAGAGTCTTGGCTTTCAAAGAGTTTAATGTCACTTGCATATGTTTGGGGTGATGAAAGGAAAAAATGACTTTGATTGTCCCAGAAAAGTTTGTCCAGAACAGTTCCTGCCCATAAATTCTGCCAGGCGTACGTATTAGGTAGTTATTAAGGAAGCAACACTTTGTACAACTTTTTGAAGCATTGAGTGCTGTCTTCCTGTGTGTGTGTGTGCATGCATGCGTGTTTTCCCAAACCCACCTGTGGTTTTTACCACCATTCTGAGTGGGAACCGAGCTTTCCTGGACAGGAGAAGAACCATCTGTCAAGTGAAGAAGATGAAACAGGGTGAGAAATAAGGGGTAGGAGAATGTGAAGGACGAAGAAGATGGGAAAGGGGGAAAAGGAGCGGGAGGAGAAAGGGGAGGAGCAGAAAACACTAGGCAGAGTAACTCTGAACTCAATCCCCAAAAAAGGAGAAACAATTTTGGTTTTCCACAGGGCTGGGTTGAGACTACTCCTGTGTCTCTCTGTACATGCCAAGGTTCGACAGAGACATTGAGGGTATTCCAGACTCCAGATACCATTTATCCTCTCTACTTATAGTTATATCTACTGTTTTCAGTGTCCCTGAAAATCACGCTAAAGAAACTCTTGAGAATCTGAAAATACCACTGGATATTTTTCATCCAGCATTCATTCTCCCCATTTCAATAGCCACAGCTCTGCTACGATAAATTTGACTGTCTTATTCAAACTTATTCACCCCCACAACTGGGCTAAGCCAACCACTTCCCAGATAAACCCTACATATGTTCTGTTGGAGTAAGACTCCTACTTGAACCGAATTTCTAACTCTAACTCCCAACCCTGTCTCTCCTGATAACCACCTAAGGCTCAGTTATAAAACTTAACATAAACATAAAACTAGCCACACCACTCGGTCCCAATTCACAGCCAAAACATGGAACAACTACAAACTTTAATCTAACCCAACCCATCTAACTCTCAGTTCTACCCAACTCCACCCCCAGCTACATTCAACAAAAATACCATTCCCTCTCCAAATTACATGAAACTATGAGTCCAGCCCAATTTTAGAAATAGCATTGCTCACTCCCTCCACATCCCTTCTCACAAAACTCACTCTCCAAACTCCAAACTCCTGTTGATTTCTCTGATAGCTCTCTCACACCTAATACGTGAATCAAGCTTCCACCCCAGTAACAGCACTACCTAAAATATCTTATGCTTCAACACCCCACTACCCCAGGAGACAACAACCTCCTAAATTGGTCTTGGCAGAGCAGAACCAAGGGAGAGCTTTACATGAGATGGACCTTGGGATTAGCCTTCACAACTTCTCTGAGACAAGAAAGGCTTTAGGTATGTGTAGTCACCAAGACACCAATAGCGCACGTAAGACCCCAGAGCTTTTGAGAGAGGCCTGAATTACCTGGAGTCTTATGGACCAGGATCAGAAGGATGGAAATGGTCATTAAATAGGGCTTCATGACTGACATGTCCTGAGAGAATGGAGGGCTGTGTAGCAGGGGACCGAATACAGATCATTGCAGCAGGACAGTGCCCTCCCTGCCTTTATTGGTTTTGGACATGGGCCAGGGTTGTGCGCAGTGAACTAAGAAGGATGAGGCGCACCCAAAGTCAAGCCAGGCAGCAGGATGAGAAGTGTCACGTATCTGGGCGAACTGCCAGCTGCGCCATGTCAAGGTGGGCCTCCTTCCCAGGAAGAGGCAGACCAGAGAGCCAGTCGGCCTACTGCGTGAGACACATGGGAATGAATGAACCAGTGGGTCAATCAATCAATCGGTCAAACAAACAATGAGAAAATGAACACATAATTTTAGAAATAAAGAATATTTTTGAAAAACATTTGTCTTTATCCTCCTGACAGTAATCCTGTACTAGGCATCACAGACTAAGAAAAAGAAGACAATGGTGAAAGCAAAGATGAGGAAGCAAAATCGAAGGGGAACTGCAAGTGGAGGGAGGGAAAGACATGAGGCAAAAGTAATGGAAACTCACACCTACCGTGAACCCACGATGTGTCAGTCTCCGGGCTAAATATGGTGTAGGTGCGAACACTCACTGCAACGCCCGGAAGTTAGGTGGTATTTTCTCCTTTAAGACGAGCACAAGAACATCGGAAGCCATGGTGTGACACTCCCATGCCACACATCTAGTAAGGCACAGGGCCTCGATTAGAAATGGTGTCTGCCTGACAGAACAGTCCTCTGGGGGTCTTGCATTCTTCCTGTGAGTGGAGGGGCAGAAAATGGAAGATAACCAAAAAAGTAATCAAATTGCTAAATATCAGAAACTAATCACTATTCAAGACAACCAATTCAGTCTGAGGGATGCAGCAGTCATCCCTTGAGAAATGGGAATAAAATGATTTTTTAAGAGGACACCACACTGACTTTTTACTCTAATGAGTCATGTGGAAGACGGATGGGTGTTGTCCAGTGTTTTGAATGAGCATTAGGAAGTAAGTGAAATGTTTTTTTTTGAAAGTCTAGGTTAGGACTTCCAGCTCTCGCCATACAAGGCAAATGGAGCTGGACTAGCCTTCCCGCTGTAAACAGCTGTGACACTGGAATGGTAAAGAGAGTTTTACACACTGAATTAAGGGCAGAGCAGACGTGAAAAGGCAACCTATAAAATGTGAGAAAATATTTGCAAACCACCTATTTGATAGGAGGCTCATGTCCAAAATATGTAAGGAACCCACACAATTCAATAGCAAAAAGAAAAAAAAATCCAACTTTAAAATGCATAAAGGACCTGAATAGACATTATAATAAAATGAATCATATATTGGAATTTTTCTGACAAGGCTTTTTGTTTATAATTCAATTATAGTTTACATTCAATATTGTTTTGTAGTCATTGCAAGAGTACAACCACATACTTTACAAAATGTTCTGCCTAATATTTTCAGTACCCACCTGGCACCATACATAGTTATTACAATATAATTGACTATATTCTCTAGGCTGTATTTTACATCCCTGGGACTATTTTGTGACTACCAATCTGTATTTCTCAATCTCTCCACCATTTTTACCCAGACCCCCCAATGCTCCTCCTCTCTGGCAACCATCAGTCTGTTCTCTGTATCTGCAAGTCTGATTCTGTTTTATTTGTTTATTTATATTGCTCTTTAGATTTCACAGATGAGTGAAGTTATATGGTATTTGCCTTTCTCTGGATGACTTATTTCACTTAGCATAATACCCTCTATGTCCATCCATGCTGTTGCAAATGGTAAGATTTCATTCTTTTTTAAGGTTTAGTAATATTCCACTTCTTTATCCACTCATCTATTTGTGGGCACTTGGATTACTGCCATATCTTGGCTACTGTAGATAATGCTGCAAAAACGTAAGTCTGCATAGATTCTTTTGAATTAGTGTTTTGGGTTTCTTCAGATGTATACCCAGAAATGGAATCACTGGATCATAAGGCAGTTTTATTTTTTAATTTTTTTAAGGAAACTCAATAGTTTTTCATAGTCGTTGCACCAAATTGCAACCCTGTCAAGAATGCATGAAGGTTCCTTTCCTCCACATCCTTGTCAGCACTTCTTATTTGCTAATTTATGTTGAAATTGATGACGGCCATTCTGACAAATGGGACGTGGTATCTCATTGTGGTTTTAATTTGCATTTCCCTGATGATTAGTGACATGGAGCATCTTCTCATGTATCTGTTGGCCATCTGTATGTCCTCTTTGGAGAAGTGTCTAGTTAGGTCCTCTGCCCACTATTTAATTGGATTGTTTGATTTGGGGGTGTTGAGTTGTAGCAGTTATTTAAAAGTTTGGATATTAACCCTTTATCAGATATATGATTGGTGAGTATCCCCTTCTACTCAGTAGGCTGTCTTTTCATTTTGTTGATTTTTTTTCTGTGCAAAACCTTTTCCTGTTGTAGTCCCATTTGTTTATTTTTTGTTTGTTTGTTTCAAGGAGATATATAAGAAAAAAATGTTGCTAAGAGAAATGTTCAAGATTTTACTGCCTATGTTTTCTTCTAGTTTTATGATTTCAGATTTTACATTTAAATCTTTAACCCATTTTGAGTTTGTCCTTATATATAGTATAAGAAAGTGGTTTAGTTTAATTTTTTTACATGTATCTTTCCAATTTTACCAGCAATTTTATTGCATGGACTATCTTTACCCTATTGGATGTTTTTGCCTCCTTTATCAAATGTTAACTGTCCATATGAGTGTGGGTTTATTTCTGGGCTCGCTGTTCTGTTTCATTATTTATGTGCCAGTTTTTATGCCAGTTCCCTGCTTTTTTGATTACTATAATCTTGTAGTACAGTTTGATACCAGGTTGTGTGATACCTCCAACTTCATTCTTCTTTCTCAAGACTGCTGTGGCTATTTGGGGTCTTTTGTGGTTCCCTTTAAGATTTTGGATTATTTGTTCTAGTTCTGTGAAATACATCCTTGGCATTTAGACAGGAATTGAGTTGAATCTATAGATTGCTTTGTGTAGTATGGACAGTTTAATGATGTTAATTCTTTCCATGAACACAGTATAAGCTCCCATTTATTTGTATCTTCTTCAATTTATTTTGGAAGACAATATTTCTAAAATATCAACATAATCTCTATCAAAATCCCAGCAACTTTTCTTGCAAAAATAGAAAAATTCATCATAAGTTATATGGGATCTCAAGGGAGCAATAATAGCCAAAATAATCTCAAAAGAGAATGAAGTTGTAAGACTCATACTTCCTGATTTTAGAACTAACTACATAGCTATGGTCATCAAAACAGTGTGGTACAAGCATAAAGACAGGTACATACTGTGACAAATGGTTATTAGACTTATTATAGTGGTCACTTTGTAAGGTATCTAAATGTCAAATCACTGTGTTGTACATCTGAAACTAACATAATATTGTACATCAACTATAATTAAAAATTAATTTACAAATACATTTTTAAAGACAGGCATATAGAACAATTGAATAAAAGAGAGAACCCAGAAATGTATCCTCACATACATATTCAAACAATTTTCAACAAGGGTGTTAAGACCACTCAACAGGGGAAAAATAGTCTTTTCAATAAATGGTATTGTGGAAACTGAATATCTACATGCCCAAAAATTAAATTGGAACCCTACCTTATACTATATGCAAAAATGACCTCATACTTGATTTTTAAAAAATGTCTAAGTACAGGAGCTAAAACTATAAAAGTCTTAGAAGAAAACAGAGGAAGAAAGTTTCATGGCATTAAATTTGGTAATGATTTTTTGGATATGACACCAAAAGTACAGAAAATCAAAAGAGAAAGTAAATAAGCTGGCCTTGATCAACATTAAATTTTTTGCATTAAAAACACTACTAAAAGAGCAAAAAGGCCACCCATGAAATGAGAGAAAATATTTGCAAATCATATACACCATAAGGAATTAATATCCAAAATACATACAAAACACCTACAACTCAACACCAAGAAAATAACAACCCAAAGGCAAAGAACTTCAATAGATAATTCTCCAAAAAAGATGTACAAATGGTCAAGAGCACATGGAAAGATTCTCAAAATCACAAATCATTAAGGAAATGCAAACCACAATGAGATACCACTTCACATCCACTAGGATGGCTTTATTTAAAGAATAAGTAAATAAATAAATAACAAATGTTGGCAATGACGAAGTGGAAGCTTTGTGCACTGCAGATGGGAATGTAAAGTGGTGCAACCCTATGGAAAATAAACCGGTGGCTCCTCAAAAAATTAAATATAGAATTACCATGTGATCTAGCAATTCTACTTCTAGTTACATACTTTTTTTAAAAAGCCCTGGCTGGTGTGGCTCAGTGGATTGAGTGCCTGCCTGCAAAACAAAGGGTTGCTGGTTTGATTCCCAGTCAGGGCACATACCTGGGTTGCAGGCCAGGTCCCAAGCAGGGGGTGCTCCAGAAACAACCCCACATTGATGTTTCTCTCTTTCTCTTTCTCCCTCTCTTCCCCCGTCTCTAAAAATAAATAAGTAATTTTTTTAAAAGAAAGAAAGGGTCCAAACAGATGTTTGTACTCTCATGTTTATAGTAACATCATTCACAATAGTCAAAAGGTGGGATAAACAAAATGTTATATATACATACAATGAAATAGTATTCAACCTTTAAAAAATTCTGGCACGTGCTACAACATGAAAAAATCTTGACGATTTTGTGGTAAGTGAAATAAACCAGTCACAAGAGCACAAATATACAATATTTCTCACTTATAGGAGGAGCCCAGAATAGTCAAACTCACAGAGAGGGAAAATGGAATGATTGTTGCCAGGGTCTGGGGAGGGGGCAGGAAGGCAGGGAATGACAAGTTTGTGTTTAATGGGTACAGAGTTTGTCTAATACTAACGTTGTTCTGGTCAAGTGTAACTTCTTGAATCCAGCCGTTCAATAGCCAGATCCTAAGTAAGCAGTGAACATGACCACCTTGCAGCTAAAAAAAGCCACTTGACCTGGCTCTGCTGTACCTGGTATTTTAATCCCCAATGCTGACTTAATATAGCTCACTTATAGATCTCGTATGAGAGGCACACAAGGAAATATAAAAGCATATTATGTTATATAAAAGTATAACAGTCCTCATGAGGTTTTAGAGTCTTATGTTCTCACAAATATAAAATCAGCCCAGCAGCAGCACTCATAGCTGCCATGAGAGCTTTTAAATTAGCTGCCAGCCTGGGAGGGAATATCTCTGCTGACTGTAAATGTGGGTATGAGATCTGCCTGCTACAGACCAGATGTGGATGGACAGAGGCTTTCTAGCACCGATGCACTAAAATAGTACACCTGAAACGAATACAATATTGTATAGCAAGTGTAATTGAAAAGTGAAATTATTTTTAAAGAAATCTTACCGCACATTAAAAACATTAAATTACATCAAATGCAAAAAAAAAAAACCCAACCCTAAAATACCACATGGAAACTGGTGATTTATTAGAGTTCTTGCAATTTCCCAAACAGATTTATGTCATTCATTGCAGAACTCCCACTGAACAACAAGATGAAATATCTAAAAAGAAATGAACATACACAAAAAATACTGATTGAAATTTGGGCTGGGGAAATTGAGGTCCCATTACTTCTATCCGCAATGTCAGGAATATGCAACTCCTCCCAAACTGGAAACTGTACATCCAGGGGAGCTACAAGAGCACTGTAGGAATATGGGGGTTACCCAGTGATACTATTCCTGTACCCCAATTGTGCACAAGCATGGCTTTTCATGCCACCGAACCAGCAGTACCACTCAGACAAAATAAATATACTGAAACTTTTGGAATCATACCACTCCCTTATAAGGACCAAGTA